CAACCCCGCCAGGCTCTCCCCCAATGTCACCACGGTGGCGAACTGCAAAGGCCAACGAGGGCGGGACATCTTCTTTGTCAGGCGGCACTTCCATGTACATGCTTTGCAAGAGGCTAAGGGTGCAGCTCCTCGTCTATGTGAGGCGGGTCATGTCACATTGGACGGTGTTCACACGATGGTGCTCCACTTCGGTGGTTTCACGGTCGTGCGGGTCACATTGTATGCGTATCTCAGCATCCGGATGGCTGGCCGCCATTGCCTTCGTTTCCAGCGACTGGGAGGTCTGCGTTAGTCGCTCTCTGCACCCAGGGTTACCGTGAAAGACTAATAAGGGACCGTCTGTATCGGGTTGCAGTCAGCTTGTCCAAAGGATGAGTGGAGTGATGCGTGGAGAAGGACCTGCAGGCACATGTGCGAACAAGACGGAGCGAGACACGCTGCTCGATTACCAAGTGCGCTCTCCGCACGCGGCATCATTCGTAAAACAGTGATTGCTGTCAGGGCTGCCTCGTGGAAGCCCAGCCAAGGGCTCCCTGTGGAGCTCCACTCTTCGGGCCTCAGCCTCCTCGCCCGCTCCCTCGCGGCCCCTCGTAAAGCTCCCGGCCCCGCGCAGAGCCCACGCCTGCCTCTCAGGCTGCCAGTCCAGGGCCCGCTTGCTAAAACAACGGCAGCTGGCCGATGTGGCTCGCAAAACTCAATTTCAGCATCTGCTCGGGGATTGGTTCTGGGTTTTGGGCTCCGCGGACCCTTCAAAGCTCGGCGAGGGCGACGACCAAATCCCGAATCCCCCGGGATGACAGCCGACGAATCGATGGTTGATTGTTGGTTACCTGGGGAGGATGAGGATCCGCGGGCTCAGGAATGTAATTCCCCCCATTGAAGGCACGTGTGGGGGTTCGCTGGAAGCCGTGTCTCGCTCGTCGCCTGCCGCCGCGGGCCCGGGGCCTGGTGTCAGAGTCCGCAGGAAGCCGCGGCAGCCAGACAGTTCCGCCACTTCTAATTCGGGCCAGCCCTCCCTCCTTCCCCAAGTTGACCAGTTGCGTGGCTTTGATTTCCCGGGGCTAGGGCGGTGACTAGCCCGGGGGCGTTCCGTTTCAGGCCCTTGGTAGTCTTTGAGGCGACAGTCGTAGAGAAGTCGGCGGCCGCCTGGGTGCCATCTCGTTTCCTCTTCTCCGCTCCGTTGCGTTTCGGCTCGAAATTCAACGCTCTTCTGTTGTGACGGGAGTGTTTGCAGCGTGGGTCTCCACGCTTGAACGCGGCATCGCGCGGCAGCATGGGGCCCAGGTGCCCAGGGCACGGCGATGCGCCTGACGGCCCGCCGACGCGCCATCCACCTTCGAGATCAGCCATCTTGTCGGGGATCGGGCGACATCGGATTCGAGCCATCAGCCCAAGGCAACTGGAGCAGCACCAGGATGCGGCTCGTCAGGCCCTGGGCTCGCGACCAGATGGCGCCCGCGAGCTGCTGCGAGATGACAGGGGGCACTCCTTGGCAGTTCTGGCTCGACTCACTGCGCGACGCCGAAAGCATCCCCAATTACTTACTAGAGTCGCGCATTGCGTCGGCGAAAACGGCAACGCAGCAGAGGGCCCAGCGCGCGGCAGCGCTGGAGTCCATGTCGGAATTTCGCCATTGAGTCGTCGAGCCCGCGGCGAATGGCATCTTGCATAAGTCCATCAAGAAGGGCAGGTTGCCCCGAGAAAGAATAACTGAAGGTGACGACGTGGCCCATCGCCTGCGTGATGTCGCTGGCGTGAAGGCGAGGGGGCACCGGGCCACGCTAGCGCTCCAGGCGCCCAAGGTCGCGGATACGAGCAACATGTTCAGACGCAGTCGGGCCGAGGCCGAGGACGAACCCTTGCCGCAGATGCGCGTGGAGGACATCTCCAGCGCGGCGGCCATGATGGGGGCGAAGGCGGGCATGGGCATCGACGCGCTCGCGCCGCCGGACTTCCAGCGCGCCCCCCGTCGAGGGGCAGACCGAGCAGCTTCTCGTCCTGAAAGCCGCTCGGGCGTCGCCGGCCTGGCCCGCGCAGGCCAAGGCTGTCTTGGGCAAACGCATGCCCGAGAAGGGTTCGGGAGACCGCGCGATCGGTCTCGTCGGCGCGCTGGGCCAGAGGCGGTCGCTCATCTGCGAGCCGAGTGTCTAGTCGCGGTCCGCAGACAGCGTCGCGTTCCGGGGCGCGGCGCTCCCCGGCATATCTCTCCTCCGGTAGGCGTTCTTGCGATCGTTCGACGAGGGGCTCGCCCGCTGCGTGGGCGCCTCCCGCGGGCCTGGCACGTTCGATGCCGGGCCATTTTACGACGGCATCCCAGGGGGCATTCTGGTGGAGGCCGCTTTCTCGCAGGATCTCCCCCCCGCTATCCTATATCTCGAGCTGTTGCAGTTCGTCGTCGCTCCCAGAGTCATCGAGTAGGAGGGCGTTGTTTCCATGCCCGTCGACCCGTCCTAACGCGTTGTCCATGTTCTTACGGCGTGCGCGCGGTTCGCCGCGGTGATGATTCCTCACGTCGTGGTCTTTGTCGCGGCGGCTCGTCCATGCCTTGTGCTTCGCATGTTGGTCGATGATGCTTCTAAGACGGTCAAGGGTGCGCGCCGAGCAGTCATGATGGATCTGATTGGGGCCATCATCCCCACCTGTCGGGAGTTGCAACAGCAGCGCCTCAGAGTGGCTGCCGTGTCCGTCGTCATCTGCGCGCGCGTGGACGCTGCTCGGGCAGGGGCGCGACGGGTCTGGCATGCCATGCTGGGCAGGCAGCAGGTCTGGTCATTGTTTTCAGCGCAACCGCAGAGGCGGGGCAACCAGGGTCCAGCGTGAGCGGAAGCAAGTCGATGAGTTCAAGCATTCGGTTGTTTATTCGTGTCGCCCGACAGCGTCAGGCCATGTCCAAGTGGCGGTTGCAGGGTGGTCCCCGCGCGGAAGTTCATTGCCGTCACGTGCGCTGCTTATTCAGAAGGTCGTCTCGCCCGGGCGCGTGCGCCGTCGGCTCAGGGCAGGCGCCTCGCCGCGGTCTTGGCCCTTCGCGCTCATTCCGCTGATCTTCCGGTGTTGCTTCCAGTTCCGACCTTTGAAAGTTGGCTAAAGGCATGGCGAGATAGTCCCGATGCCAGAGCGGGCGCGCGGAAGGCGTGGCCGGCCATCGTCCAGGACATGGAGGATATAAGCCATCGATTGATCGGATTCTTTCGGTCACACGCCCAGTCTCGAAAGTTATCCATAGCCTCGTTCGCTTGGGCTGGCGCCCCAATGACCCACCCGCCCGGCCGTGCCAAGTCGGGCCGAACAGATGTGAAGGATGGCAAGATCCATGTTCAATGTACAACGGAGCTCGAGAGCTGGATCGCCTTGGAGCCCCTCCCCGCTGATGCCGCCACCTCGCGCGAGCGACAGGCGCGGGCCCAGGCGGCTAAGCACATCTGCGGAGGAGGCTCGGAGGCAGGAGTAGACGCGCCGTCAACTCGTGTAGTCATTCAGCAGATGGCCCAGCCCCCGCGCGGCAAGCTCCTGGCAGAAATCATGGCCACGGTCGCAGCAGGTGGGAGCTCGAACAAGGAAAGGAAGGCCCAGCAGGTCAGGGACCTTGACGGTGTCTTGATATGCGACCGCTCCCGCGATCGGGGCGCGACACTTCTCCGCCGCTCTGGGGGGGGGGGGGGGCGCAGTTACACCTGCGGCGCCACTCGACTCAGACGAGTTGTGAGGCGAGGCTCCGGCACAGCGCAACGCAGCTGAGGCGTTCCGTCTGCGATGTATTTTACCAAGTGAATGGATTGCCCTTACGCCGCCCTCCGAGGAAGATTGCTGGAGGTTCACGGGCGACACCATTGTTGACCTTGGCATGTTTGGACCAGGGAATCGTCCAGCACGCTGTGATTTGTGGTGATGCTAGCGGGGGCCCTGAGACACATGGCCCTCGGCTTCTCCGCGTGAGCCTCGCTATCGCATGCTTCCGCGGTTTCCAGTCCATCTTTCTGTTTCGGTGTAGCATCTACTGCCATTTGAATGGCCCTAGGCCGGTTGTGGCCCGTGGGGAACTCAAGTGTTTCTACTTGGACTGTGACTACGTTGTGTCAGGGTGGTACGAACAGAGATGCCCGCAGCCGTGTGGTCCCGATGCCGACATTTGGGGGGCCGTTCCCGAGCTCCTGGCGATTGCTTCTTTCCTTTCCATTTCTTTTTCACCTCACGGCATATCAGGTGGCTCGCGGCGTGGGCATCTCGTCTCGTGTTGCGGGCACTGCTTTTGTTGATGGGATGGCGGGCTTCGGCGCCGAGCAGGCTCGGGCTTTCGAGTCTGAGGGATTTCGAATCACTATTAAGCATGAGCACCGAGCGAGAGTTGGTTGCCGTCGCCTTTTGCGGGTATCTCTGGGTTGCCTGGCCAAGGAAGAGAAGCTCACCTTACACGGGAGGAAGTGCACCAGGTGCCTTTGCTCGGCCTCGCTCGCGACACCTCGTGACTGGCAAGAGGTGCCGTGTCATGAGTTGGTCGACGTTCATGGCGCGATCGCCGCGCCCCCTGAGGGTGCGAGGGTTCATGTCGGGGGGGGGGGCTGGCTGCACCCGACCCACTTCCTGCCGGCCCAAGTGCGGAGGCACTGCCAAACAGCAGGCGGTGCCCTAGGGAAATCATGAAGTGGAGTCTTCACCACCACGGGCAAGGAACCTTTGTCGCGCATTCACGCTGGCCTGGCCTTGGATGTCGTCAGCAAGGCCGAAAAAAGGCCCAGCGAGGCCGAGGTTGGGCACAAGAGCTGGCTAGGCCACGAGTTCCATTCAACTCGCTTCCGCCCCCCTCCTCCACTTCTCCCGCGTGCTTTTCCTCCTTGTCCTCCTCCTCCTCCTCCTCGTCCTCTTCTCCTTCTTCCTCCTCCTCTTCCTCCTCCTCCTGCTCCTCCTCCTCCTCTTCCTCCTCTTCCTCCTCCTCCTCCGCCTCCTTCTCCTCCTCCTCCTCCCTGCACTCTCCTTCTCCGCCCCGGGCCGGGAGCCGCCGATCCGAGGCGGCCGCGGGCCCGGCCGGCTCCGGGGGCGGCCACCGCGGGCCTCGCCCCGAGGAGCCCGCCGCAGGCGCCGCGCCGCGCTGCTCGGGGGGCAGCGGCCTGGGGCGCGGGGCAGCGACGGTCAGTGTCGTTTCACCGGGGGACGTGTTGGCTACACGCAGGATCCTTTCAACGATCCCCATCCCCCTCCCCGTCCCCTTCGAGACCCCCACCATACCAGCGCACCCCAGTCGGGGGTACCCCCCTCGAAGCCCGAAGAGAACGAATACATATCCCCATCCAAGGGAGGTAAATCGGCCAGTGGGGCCCAGGCCACGCCGCTCGGGATGGGGATTGGTTGAACTGGGGTGGCCTTGAGTGTGGGCCCACGGGTCCCCCGATCGCCGAACGCGATGCGGTAGTACATAGCGCCTTGCGCGCTCGTGTCTGGTTCCCCCGCGGCCCACAAAAAGCCGCGCACCAAAGGTCACTCTTACCCAGGGCCGCTCCTGAGCCTGCGTTTATCCGAGTATCGTGTAGCTGAGGGGAGGGGTGTGCCCCTCGAAATCCGAAGGGAACAGCCTGTATCACCATCCGAGGGGGTGTAAATCGGGCAGTGGGGCCCAAGGGCCACGCCAGTGGGGATAGGCACTGTTTAAAAATAACATTCAGGCAGGGGGGGGATCGCAGGTCGGTCTCCCAGGATATGATTCTTTCAGTCGTGGCGTTCCTCCTTCATCTCGGCCTTTGGGGCTCGTTATCGGGCTCCGGGTCCATCAAGCATGGATCCGCGGCGAAAAGCTGCCCCCGGGGAGGTGTCGGGACCTGTGGGGCTGCGCAGTGAAAATATCATGTCGTCGGATGTCTGGGGACGGGGACGGGAGGCGGCCAGGAGGGAGGGAGAAGGAGGAGGAGGGGAGCAGGAGGTGGAGGAGAAGGAGGAGGATGACCACTGTAAACCCACAAGTCATCAACGAGGTTGGAATATACCCTCCCTCCAAGCTTCTTCTTCATAGGCCCAATGGTTCGTTTCCACTGAGGGAAGTGCCCCGTTAGGAGACAACCGTCTGAATATCCTGAAGCGTGCCACGACATTGTTCTCATGACTTGAACGCCGCGAGTCAACCTGACTGTTGCGTCTGGACGATCCTGAATCGTGCCAGAACTTCAACACCGTGAATGAACGTAACAGCTGCGCCCTGACAGTCCTGATTCGCTCGAAATCGCAAGTTCTGGTGCTTGAAACATGAGGGTCCGTGAAATTGTGAGAAAATGTCTCAAACGAATGCGCGCGGCGCTATGGCGAGAGGCACGCGTTGAAAAGGAACCACCATGAAGCCGTGAAACTATTGCAAATATTTGGAACGAAAGCACACGGCGCTACGGCGAGAGCCATCGCTCGAACACGAACCGCCCTCAATCCGTGACGCTCCTGCAACGCCTTAGAACGAACTCCGCCTGCGGGAGAAGGAACACAAGAGGACTGCGGACGGGTCAGACGCCCGAAAGCCTCGCACCGGCCGTTGCCCGAAGTAGCCCTGGACCAAGGCAGGCCCAGGCTCTATTACCAGGGAGGCGCAGGATGGCCGCCAGAGCACCCCGCACGAGGCCCGGAGGACCCCACGCCCCCAAACGTGGGAAGCCGAGGACTCCCTGCCTGTAGTCCCACCCCGAGCGACTCCGACCATGGCGACGAGAGCACTCCTGGACGAGCAGCAGCATCTGTGACCCGAATTCGTCCTCCATTACCTCCCATAGTCAACACAGGGAGCCACAGTTTGAAAACGACCCGCCCTCAATCCGTGAACATGTTGCCAACGTCTAGATCGACTGTGCGCCGCGTTCAGGCGAGAGCCACATTTTGGAATCGGCCCGCCATCTGCGAAACAGCTTCCAGGTTTTAAGCTTGAGGCTCATAAATGGTCAGGGGCTCTCAGGCGAAGCGCCCGGCCCGCCCTGCCGACTGGCTTCTGGGTGCGACAGGGAGGAGTTGCTCCTAAAGGAACGGAATGGAGGAGGCGGAGCAGGAGGAGGAGGAGGAGGAGGAGGAGGGAGGAGGAGGAAGACGAGGAGGAGGTGGAGAGCAGAAAAAGGACCAGGAGGAGGAGGAGGAGGAGGTGGAGGAGGAAGAGGAGGAGGAGGAGGAGGAGAAGGAGGAGGAGGAGGAGGGGCAGGAGCAGGGATGAGGAGGAGAGGAGGAGAGGAGGAGGTGAGGAGCAGGAGCAGGTGAGCAGCAGCAGGAGTAGGGAGCAAAGGAGCAGGAACAGGAGCAGGAGCAGGAGCAGGAGCAGCAGGCAGGAGCAGGAGAGCAGGAGCAGCAGCAGGAGCAGCAGCAGCAGAGCAGCAGCAGCAGCAGCAGCAGCAGCAGCCAGGACCAGACCAGGACCAGGACCAGGACCAGGACCAGGACCAGGAGCATGAGCAGCAGCAGCAGCAGCAGCAGGAGCAGGAGCAGGAGCAGGAGCAGGAGCAGCAGGAGCAGCAGAGGAGCAGCAGGAGGAGCAGGAGGAGCAGCAGCAGCAGCAGCATCAGCACAGCAGCAGCATCAGCAGCAGCAGCTGCAGCTGCAGCTGCAGCTGCAGCAGCAGCAGACGAGCAGCAGCAGGACGAGCAGGAGCAGGAGCAGGAGCGGGAGCAGGAGCAAGAGCAGGAGCAGGAGCAGAGGCAGCCAGGAGCGGAGCAGCAGGAGCAGGAGCAGAAGCAGGAGAACAGGAACAGGAGCAGGAGCAGGAGCAGGAGTAGCAGGAGCAGAAGAAGGAGCAGCAGGAGGAGCAGGAGCAGGAGCAGGAGCAGGATGAGGAGGTTGGGGGTGGTGGGCGGGTGCTTACCTCCTCGGCCCCCCTCGCAGTGGTCCGCCGGCGTCGTGGCGGTGGACCCTACCCACATGCGTGTCTACAGCGAGCACAGCAGCAGCAGAGCAGGAAGAGGGGGATGAGGGAACGACGGAGAGGGGGGGGGGGGGGTAAGGCGGGCGAGGGTGAGAAGAAGGAGGAGGAGGAGGAGGAGGAGGAGCAAGAGGAAGTGGGCTACTGGTGGAGTGGGCGGGCCAGGCCGCGCGCATCGCATGGACGACGTCCAGGTCCTTGGGTGCAGACCCCAGGGCGCCGCACAATGCTTACGGGCGGGGCCTCCCGGCTCCTGCCGAGTGTGACCCGACATCGGCACTCCGGCGGAGGTGCCTCCCACGAGTGTCCACGAGGAGCCACGAGCATTATTACGACCGCTGCCGCACGAGGCAGTTTTTGCTGTCCCCTGGCGATAATGGGCGTGAGCGAATAGTAGAGGAGATGGGGGGAGGGGGCCAGTCACGTCACAATTTGTGCTGCCGCCGTCTTGGAATGCTTCGGAATGGCTCCCAGGAGGCGCCTGGCGCGAATCGTGACGTGACCAGGGGGTGGAGGGGGGTGGGTCGGGCCCTTCACGGGCGTCTTCGCAGATTAGAAGATAATGGATTCAGATCGCCGCTTACACGAACATTGAACGAACGTTTGCTTAGCATGTCGCGCCGCCGGTTGAGCGTCACGCTAACCATGCCGTAGTCCCCGAGCGTCCACGTCCCACGCTTCTCCCAGCATCCCGCCCCTCGAGGCAGAGCGACACGCCACCGGCCTGCAGCGCACGGCTCGTCGCAGGGCCCGCCGCAGCGACGCGCCGAAGAAAAGCTCCTGACCTTATCGCTCGTACCGGGGTTCAGTATCGTTTAACCGATCCCTATCCCCATCCTGATCCCTGCAGTCGGGGCACTGAGGAAGGAACCCTTTTCGTTGGGGAGGGGCTCGGTGTTCCTTAGTTGTTTTGCTGTTCGCCTTTGGTTTTGCTTAGGGCTTCGATGGGAAATCGAAGTTAAACTTTTGGGAAAAAGAGGCCTCGTTCCTTATTTAGGGTTCCTTAGGTCAACGCCCCTTCTGTATGCCGATTCCGTCCATCTTGCCACACTAGTTGGGGATCGGCCGCGACCCCGGCGGCGGCCACGGCGGCGGCAGCGGCGGCGGCGGCGGAAGCGACGGCAGCGGCGGGCGCCCAGCCGCGCGGACCCCGCAGGGGCCGGGAGCTGCGCCGATGCCTCGGTGACGCTGGCAGGCTTCCAGGAGATCTGGGCGCCGGGAAGCGTGGCGCCACCGACATGCCCAACGTACAGTCGGGCCGCTGAAGAAGGAATCCTTTTCGTTGGTGAGGGGCTCAGTGTCCCTTCATCTGTTTACAGGTTTTCTTAGGTTACCCTGAGGTGCTCTATGGGAAGTCGAAGTTTCGCTTAAGACAAAAGGAGCCTCGTTCCTCATTCAGGGTTTCTTCTGACAGCGTTTCGACTGTATTCCCATATTCCCTTCAAGTCGTGAAAAAAACCAAGGCCACGGGTTGCTGCTGCTCCTGCCTGGGGCCTCGGCGTCGCATTTTTTATTGCAACGGGTGAGTGTGCCTTGTATTTCGGGCCGCGGGACCCTCACAGGTGGATGCAGCTCAGAAAGTGCAGCTGAAACATAGGCTCCAGGGTTTCGGCAGTTGTGTATTAACGATGGTGCATTTGTTCCGTGACGTCGGTTCTCATGGTTCTCATCGAAAATATTGGCGCACCCTGTTTCGCGCATCTTGGCGGGCCACAAGGCCGCCAAGCGACGATTCAGGATTCAGAGCCAGTCCCGCGAAGAGTGTAGAGACCTCCAGGGGTCCACGTTGCGAAGACGATCGCGACGACGGAGTGATGAGCAGACAGCTCGCGTTTCCCACCACTCTCTCCCTGCGTCCAGGCGCAAAGAGAACGGCCAGCAGCGCACGGTCCAGGAGGGCACCTGGTCCACGCTCTGTAAGCGACCTGGACACATGGATGGGGTCTTCAGTGGCAGGGGGTCGTGAGGCTGTTCACGCCTTCGGCCGCCCAGGGTCCCGTGCCAGACCCCGGCCCAGCGGCCGTTTACCTCGGGGCCCCTCCCCCACGGCAGCCCCACGCAGGGTAGACACTGTCGGGGCCCCCTTCTCTGCCCTTTTGCATCGGGAGCCAGAATTTGACTACCGCTCCTACGCTACGGGTTCTGGGCCCCCTGGCGAGAGCAAGCGTTGCGCGTTACTGTCTGCAAGTAGGCTTGGGGCAGATTTCGGGCAACGCCGTTGGCCCACGCGGTCATGGCGTGCCTCCTGGCGCCCAAGGCCGACTAAGTTGGCAGGCTGAAGGTCTTGGGCGAGACCCCGTTCGGAGCACAGCAGGGCGGGGGGGGGGGCGCCATTATTTATATGACAGGGGCCCGGCCGTGTAGGGAGAGTTATGGGCGTGGGAGGGAGGGGGGGCATGCGTCAGAGCAGGTGGTGGTTTTTTGGGGCCGTCAGGGCCCTGTAGCATATGCAGGTTTTCAGCGCCCGAGTGCGTGAACTGATCAGCCCCAGCCACCCGCGGACGCTGGGGGAGAGGCGTGCAAACAGCTTCCCCCGGCTACCAGCCTGGGCCCCCGCCCCCTTGCTTTCGGCCCTCGTTTGCCCTAAGGCCAGGAAGGACGAGGATGGGCAGGGGAGGAAGGAGGAGGAGGAGGAAGGAGGAGGAGGAGGAGGAGGAGGAGGAGGAGGAGGAGGAGGAGGGGGAGGAGGAGGGGAGGGAGGGGGAGGAGGGGGAAGGGAGGGGAGGAGGGAGGAGGAGAGAGGAGGAGGAGGGGAGGAGGAGGAGAGGAGGAGGGGGAGGGGGAGGGGGAGGGGGAGGGGGAGGAGGGAGGAGGAGGAGGAGGAGGAGGAGGAGGAGGAGGAGGAGGAGGAGGAGGAAGAGGAAGAGGAGGACGAGGAGGACGAGGAGGACGAGGAGGACGAGGAGAACGAGGAGGAGGAGGAGGAGGAGGAGGACGAGGAGGAGGACTGGGTCGTCGCCCCCCCCAGGCTTAGGTGCCTGAGGTCCCCAGGGAGGGCTTGAGGGCATGCCGTCGCGTCCCCAGGTCCATTATCTTGCGAGTGCTGCACTGTTCGTTGTCCAGGTTGCTCCAGATCTACTCGGACAGCGTCGAATGGGGTTCGCGGATTCTCGCCACAGGCAAGTTCTGCATTAGTAGACAGGTCACCGGGAAGTTGCACACATTTGATTTGGCCTGGCTGCGTAAGAGTTGGACACGCATATGACCACATGTTTCTTCCGCACATGGCCAGTTAAGCCAGCCCCCCGCGTGCATCCGACAGGTGACCTCCGCATCTTCCGCATGTGAATCCAGCCGCTCCGGTTCGCCTCCGTACGCGGCTCCTGGGGGGACAGAGTCTGGGCAGGCTGCATCCTTGCCGTCATGGCTGGATTCTTCACTTCGTCGGTCCTCGCTGGCTCTCCTTCCGCCCGTGTCCGCGGCGCGGGATATCAAGTATCGGCCGCCACCCTCGAGGGGGTCGTTGCGCCTTCCCTGGTGTGGCCCCACCAGCTCAGACCCCTGGGCGCCTCCAGGATCCCTCTCTGGTGGGCTTGTTTTCCACTGCCACCACCATGAGTCGGAGGGTGAGGGGGTCCTCTTCTTCCTCCTCCTCCTCCTCCTCCTCCTCCTCCTCCTCCTCCTCATCCTCCACATCCTTCCCCCCTCCTACTTATAGTGGTGGTGGTGGTGGAAAACAGGCCTATCCATCTCCTCATGTGATCATCTGCCAGCCGGTCGTGCGAGGAAAGCGGCGATGCTGAGTGTTGGGCGCTCTTGTACAACCAGCTGCACTCCCTGAAGGAGAACGTGGACAACCTGGCAAAGACTCGGTAGTGTTACCTTTCTGATCACATGCTTGTGTTCTGTTTCTGAGTTTGAGGATCGTTCTGCCACCGTCCAGAACAGCAAGTCTACGATTGTGTGTTCGCCAGCGTTCTTCGAACCCGCACGTCCAAAGTATGCATCTGGTTTCTTGGTTTAGTCGTCGACAAGTAAAGTGGAGTCAGTTTGCCGATTGATTCTCTGGTCGTTGCCTCGCGCCCCTGGATTTGATCCACCTCGTCTATCCCCCTCACCACGCCCAGGAAGGAGAGAAACGAACAGAGGAGGAGGGGAGAGGGAGTGGACATGTGTAAACGTTCAGCCCCCCGGCATGATGGCGGCCGCAGAAAGGACCATCCACAGATGATGTGTCAGCCGAGCTCGCGGAAGGTGATCACTGGCCCTCCCACGTGCCGCGTTTGCTCCGGTGCATGGCCATGCCGTCCTCGCCCTCTCCTCGGAGCAGGGCCCGCCCAGGCAATGGCGGCCCTCCCTGGCGTTCCCTGTACTCTTTGCTGCTGTTGTTGCTGTTGTTGCTGTTGTTGTTGCTGTTGTTGTTGTCGTTGTTGTTGTTGCTGTTGCTGTTGCTGTTGCTGTTGCTGTTGTTGTTGTTGTTGTTGTTGTTTGTGTTGTTGCTGTTGCTGTTGTTGTTGCTGTTGTTGTTGCTGTTGTTGTCGTTGTCGTTGTCGTTGTCGTTGTCGTTGTCGTTGCTGTTGCTGTTGCTGCTGCTGTTGTTGCTGTTGTTGTCGTTGTCGTTGTCGTTCTCGTTGTCGTTGTCGTTGTCGTTGTTGTTGTTGTTATTGTTGTTGTTGTTGTTGTGGTTGTTGTTTGGGTTGTTGCTGTTGCTGTTGCTGTTGCTGTTGTTGTTGATGTTGTTGTCGTTGTCGTTGTCGTTGTCGTTGTCGTTGGTGTTGTTGTTGTTGTTGTTGAACATTATTTCTTCTTAAGAATAATTATTGTTGGGACCCCTGGTGCGCGCCCCCCCCGCCGCGCCTAGGCCGCAGCCTCATTTTCATCATTTTCGTGAGGAAGTCTCAGGCAAAACGGGTTGGTCCGGATCCGGTTGTTTTGTTGTCCCCCGCTTTCCCTTGCAAAAAATAAGCTAAAGTGGAGTTTTCCTGTTCTAACATAACCAAACTTCAACAATCCCTTGCAAAAAATAAGGTAAAGTGGACATTCGCGCGCGCAAGACGAAATCCTTCCAAAACCTTAGTTTTCGTAGCGATTTTAACATAAAAACATAAAAAAAAAAACCAATGGTTTTTCAAACAAAAACTTGTCAACATTTCATCCCGCGCGCTCTTGCGGATTCGTAGGAAACCCAACACTTTTTAAACATTTCTGTCAAACGGGCTTTTGCGAGCAACTTTTTCGAACTTCTGCAACAACGGTTGCGCACCTGCCAGGGCCATCATCCCTGTCAAATAATACCATGCGGGACACATTCGTTTTTTCTTCGCGCGCGCACGCCGTCGTCGTCGGCCGCGGGGCCCTGAATAGTAGCCACGGTCGTCCGCATGCCACGAAGTGAAGTGTCCGAACGTCATAGGGCGGGAAGCTGGGTGTGGGTGGTGGCGAAGAGTCGTTTGGAAATTTGGTAGAGCTTGAACCGGCCCCCCCACAAAGTGGGGGTATTGCCCGCCTCCTATGAAAACCCTGGCACTGGTGAGAACGGAGTGTCCCCACGTGCTAGTAATTGTTGTTGTTGTTGTTGTTGTTGTTGTTGTTGTTGTTGTTGTTGTTGTTGTACTTTCTGTTGTTGTTGTTGCTGCCTCCTGCAGATTCCCTGTCGCCACGGCCAGATCCGCCCTCCCGGCCAGGACCCGCCCCGGGATCCGGGTCGGGGGGGGGGGGCACGTTTCAGGAGGGGAAACAACACACTGACACAATTAATCATCGATCCCCAAGAAAATATTGGAAAATATGGGAATTGGGCGGGAAGATAAAAACCCGCAAAATATGGGAAAATATGGGGAGTCCTTTTATTTGTGTGTATCTATTTGTGTGTGCTGGGGCCCCTTCAACGTTGTCGAGCGGACCTGGGCCGGGCGGGGGAGCCGCCGTGGGTGGACTCCACCGGCCCTCCCTGTGCCTGGCGGCCGGGAGGGAGAGATATGGGGGCACACGAGGGAGCAGGCGCTGACCTCCAGGAGGGTGGGGGGGAGACTTGGGGAACCGGGGGGGGGCAGCCCCGGAAGTGTCCAAGAAAGGTCTGGGAAGCCCTGGAAGTGTGACACAAAGATTTTGGGAACCGGGGGGGGGAATCCCGGGAAAGTCCAAGAAAGGTTTGGGAAGTCCTGGAACAGTGGAAAAGATCTGGGGAACTGGGGGGGGGGGGGGCCCGGAAGTGTCCAAGAAAGGTCTGGGAAGTCCTGGAAGAGTTGAAAAGATTTGGGGAATTGGGGAGGAGGAGTCCCGGAAGTGTCCAAGACAGGTTTGGGAAGTCCGGGAAGAGTGGAGAAGATTTGGCGAACTGGGGGGGGGGGGAAGTCCCTGAAGTGTCAAAAAGGGGTCCGGGAAGTCCTGGAGTCCGAATCGGCTCGTGCGCGCCCCCGCGGTGGTGGCCCCCCCCTTTGGGTGCTCTGCCTGCGCCTGCCCCCCCCCTTGCCTTCCGTCGGGCGTGTCCCTGCACCACAGGAGGAGTGTTCAGACGCACGCGAAAAAGAAGTACACGTTGTTCATTTCTAATGATTCGAAAGTTCTTTGATCTTCTGGGGGTCCAAGATCCGTTCATTTCTAATTGTTCTATCACTGGGCCTCTTCCTGGCCACTAGGGGGCCAGGAACAATCTGAAACGAGCACAATTAGAAATAACCACGATTAGAAATTAACGACGTGTAGTCTGGGGAAGATTTGTCCGCGATGTTTGTTTATTTCTGCACGTGTTGCGTGTCTATTGTTGCATTTGTCGTCCAAGCAAACCCGCCTGTATAGGAACAAGGAAAGACCGAAGCTACAGCAGCACAAAGGGACTGACGCAAAGAACAGAGACGACAACAACGAACAGGGATCCCAGCGACGAAACAAGGACCGGCAGCGACGAAGAGGGACTGACAGGGACTGAATGTCGAGGAAATGGCACTCGAAAGCGCGACGACGACGACACAGACCTAGTAGACGCCGAGAAGGTATACTTAAGCCTACGAAAAGGGACTGCACCTACGAAGGACGTGCCCTGGGGAAGTTTTTTCTCTGCGATTGTTGATTAGTTCAGCATTTGTTGTGTGCGTGTCTATGTTGCATGTGTTGTGTCTGTATATTTTGCATGTGCTGTATCTGTATATTTGGAGTTGTCTGTGTTCTGTTTGGTTCGTACTTTTGTGCTTGTTTCGCCTATGTTCCAGCTGTCGCCCAAACATCCACCTGCACAGGAGGGACGCGTCCTTGTACTACAGGAGAAGTCTTCAAAACTACGCAAGAAATTGTCTGGGGAAACAGTCCTGCGATGTTTGATTATTCCCTGCATGTTCTGCGCGTCTGTGCTGCATCTGTCGTCCGAAAATCCGCCTGCATAGGTCGGCCACGCGCAGAGAGGGGTAGGGGGAGGGGGGAGAGCTTCTTAGAAGCACCCCTGCTTCTTAGAAGGCGCGGGCCTTCTCTATAGATGCAATTCCTGCGCCTTCTAAGAAGCAGCCTGCTTCTAAGAAGCCTCCCTCCCTCCCCCTACCCCCTTGTGCGCGCCACCAAATAGGACGGACGGTGCCCGGCCTGGCCCTTGCCGCCCGGGGCGCCCCCACCCCCACGCTCTGTTGGCGCCCCCCCGGCCAGGTGCCCGCACGGGGAGCTGGCCCGCCCCCCGCCGCCCCGCGCGCCGGGCGCGGCGGCGGAGGAGGCCGCCGCGGTGCGTCGGCTCGGCCGCCCCCGCGCCTCCCGTGGGCACGCTGAGAATCCGAGGAGGCCAAGCTACCCCCCATACCTCATACCTCTACCCTCTCCTCGTGTGCCCCCTTCTCGGGCCTCCTCGGAGGCCCTCGTCGTCACCGCTGGATTCGCCTCGGGATCCTGGTCAGAACGCACCCCGGGAGAGGTCTGGGGAGTAGCGGTATGGGTACCTTTTGGTACCCCCAGATAACGGCGACGTATCGGCGTCACCCTAACGTAATAATGTTCTGTGTGCATCGCCCCCCCCCCCCCCCCCCAGGGGCGACGCGCGCACCGAGAAATATCTTAGAGTATGTGCGTCGTGGCGGGCGCTGTCTGGCCACACTTGCTCGGGAAACGATGTACTACAGGATTGGTATACTACATGTTCGGGTCGGACGCGCGCCTCCAAGAGGAGCACATAGTACCTGTATGTCTCTGTGCGTCCCGATGGCGAGATGCCCAGACACCCTCGAGCAATGAAGCAATCACGACGGGAGGTGTTTCGCGATTCTCTGCCTCTTGGGGCCCCTTCCGGGCCTCAGGACCATCAAAAAGCAACTCTGGATGAAAAAACAGTCCCAGGGAATAGGTCGAAACCTCTGGGGGTCTCCCGCAGGCACGCTGATAACGGCGACGTATCGGCGTCATCCTAACATACTGATGCTATGTGTGCATCGCGCTCCCCCCAGGGGCGGCGCGCGCACCGAGAAAAGTCATATGCGTCGTGGCTGGCGCTGTCTGGCCACACAAGCTCGGGAAACGATGTGCTACAATATTGGTATACTATATGTTCGGGTCGGACGCGCGCCTCCAAGAGGAACATCTAGTACCAGTATGTCTCTGTGCGTCCCGATGTGGGTAACGGCGAGGTGCCCAGACCCCCTCGAGCAATAGAGCAATCACGACGGGAGGTGCGGGAAGTGTTTAACGATTCTCTGCCTCTGGGGGCCCCTAGCGGGCCTCAGGACCGTCAACAAACGACTCAGGATGACAAACCGATCCCGGGGAACAGGTCGAAACCTCTGGGGGTCGACGTCATGACAAAATTATGCCTTCGGGGGTCGGTACGTTTCGGTATTGTCGGAGCGCGTGGCTCGTGCTTTCCTACAACGCGCTGTGTCGTTTGCGTTCGATACGTTTGCAGATGGGAAGTGTAGGAGAGTGTGGTTCGTGATTTCCTGCACATTGGTTCCAACCATCGCCGTTAAGCAGCATCTCCGTTAGCGTGGCCTTGGGTCGTTTCTCCCTCTCTATCCTCGTCTGTCTGTCGTGTTTTTTTCCCCATTTACACCTAGGCCTCCCAGATGGGGCCGGAGTAACTAGATGGGGTCCGAGGACCGCGCCGCATCGCCGATGCATCGGCGATGCGGCTCGATGTGGGGCCCGAGTTTCTCCACGCCGACACATCGCCGATGTATCGGCGATGCGGCGAGATCTTCCGGCCACATCTACTCCGACCCCATCTAGGAGGCCTCTATTACACTTCTTACAAATACCGCCGGTGAGCCTTGGAGCGGTGCTCCAGGGGTCACCTGGCACTAGTTTGATCAATCCCCCAGGGCCGACTGGCACTGGGGGGAGCGGCACTAGTTTGATCAATCCCCCAGGGCCGACTGGCACTGCCGGATCAAGCCACCAGGAGCCAGGAACCAGGTCGCCCGCGCACAGCCCGGAGACCCGAGGCTCTAAAGCAATGGGGGCGCCCAGTTTTTTGCTATCTTCTGCCTCGGGGGGCCCTTCACTCGTTTTCGCGTTTTCGGGCCCCTCGCTCGTTTTCGCCTTTTCGGGCCTCCTGCGAGGCCCTCGTCGCCACCGCTGGATTCGCCTCGAAATCCTGGTCAGAACCCACCTCGGGAGAGGTCCGGGGAGTAGCAGTATCGCTACCTGATGGTTCCCCCATCAGTGGGCCCTGGGGCCTTAACATAAACAGTTCAGGATGGAAAACCAGCCCTGCGGACGTGGTCCAGACCCCCGAGGGTCCACGCATCGACAAGCATTGGAGCGGCGGAGAGCAGTGTCCCAGTTGGTTCCAGGGCTCCCAGATGGAGTCCGAGCAGATGGGGTCAAAGAATCGCGCCGCATCGCCGATGCATCGGCAATGCGGCTGGATGTGTAGCCCCGATGTTATCCACACCAACGTCGCCGATGCATCGCCGACGTCGCCGATGCCTCGCAGATGTATCGCCGATGCATCGACGATGCGGCGCGATCATCCGAGACCATCTCATCCGACCCAATCCGGGAGGCCCGCGCATATTTTAATCAGCGAAAGGGGAGCCAAGCAGCAGAGATCAGAGAGACGACGCGACAAGACGACGAGGACAGCCGTCCGCCCGGGTCCTCGCAGCCCCTGGCCGGCGGGCTTGGCCAGCCGCGTTGGTGTTGGCGTCGCCCGCGCACTGCATTTTCCAGTTAATGCGCGGAGCAGGTGAACACCTGACTGACATTGATCTATCCTGGCGCTGCATGTTTTCCACAACGGGCGATGTTGCTCTGTTTTGGGCGCCAGGACCCTCCCAGGTCGGTATGGCTTTAAACATGCAGCAAACAGATGGAGTTCAGGGGTCCAGTCGAGTTTGTTGTGCGATGTTTGTTGTTGTTGTTGGTGGTGTTGGTGTTGTTGCTGTTGCTGTTGCTGTTGCTGTTGCTGTTGATGTTGCTGTTGTTGTTGTTGTTGTGGTTGTTGTTGGTGTTGCTGTTGTTGTTGTTGTTGTTGTTGTTGTTGTTGTTGTTGTTGTTGTTGTTGCTGTTGCTGTTGCTGTTTTTGGTGCTGTTGGTGTTGTTGTTGTTGTTGTTGATGATGCTGCTGTTAGGAGGAAGGGCGGGGCGCCCCGACGCGTGTCCCACAACCCTCCCCCCCACCACAGCACTCACAACAACCGGAATTCTTAAGGATCCCTAGGAATTCCTAAGGATTCATAGGAATTCCTAAGGATCCCTAGGAATTCCTAAGGATTCCTAGGAATTCCTAAGGATTCTTAGGAATTCGGAAGGATTCCTAGGAATCCCTAAGGATTCCTAAGAATTCCTAGGACTCCTAGGAATCCCTAAGGATTCCTAGGAATTCCGAAGGATTCCTAGGAATTCCCAAGGATTCCTAAGAATTCCGAAGAATTCCTAGGAATTCCTAAGGATTCCTAGGAATTCCTCACTTCGCCGGTGCACGCATGCCTTTTGCCGGCAGGGATTCGTTGGTGCCAGAGAGGAGGTCCGCAGATGTTCTCACAAATCGAATTCAATGGCGTTGTTGTGGTGTTGTGGGGGGGGGTCGTTGTTGTGGTTGTTGCCGGGGGGGGTCCCGACGGGTCGGCGCTGACCGCCCTTGCTTTGTTGTTGTGAGCTCGGATCTCAGGCGGGGACGCCTTGCTGATCCCGGGAATGTCCTGTAAGTTCTGAGGTTGTTTTTGCGTTGTTCGGAGCAGGCACGTACTCTTAGATCCTGGTGTTGCATGTTTGTCACAACGGCCGAGTCTGACTTTCTTCGGGCACTGGGAACCTTACAAAAGTGATTCAGAAAGTTTGGGTTGGGTCCAGGTCTCAGGCAGTGTTAGGTTTTGCGATGCTGCATTTTACCGTGACGTCTGGTCTCAGGAAATTATACCCCTTGGCAGCACGAAGACGGACAGGACAAGGAAATGTGTGCGCAGAGGTGAGGTTTGAGAACGGTATGTGCGAACATCATCGGCATGGGTGTCTTACGATTAAGAGACGATGGTCGACATCAAAGATAGAGCCAGCGACCTCTGTGCTCTATAGCATAGTTCGCGGCCAGGGGATGGCGGACGGGGGAGAGTTCGGTAGGTAAGTTGGCGCCTCGCCACCCAGCTGCAAGCAGTAATCTCCAGCAGTGCAGTGATCCTCAGGCCGAGCTTCACCTCTCAATATGTTCTGGTCCCCTGCCTCGCCAGACCCGTCTTCGGGGCACCAGACCGCAGAGGCGGCCCCCTGGTCTCTCTCTGTCTCTCTCTCCCTCTCCCTCTCTTTGTCTCTGCCTCTTTCTCTCTCTCTCTCTGTCTCTCTGCTGTTGCTGTCTCTCTCTCTCTCTGCCTGTCTTTCTACCTGTCTGTCTGTCTGCCTGTCTGTCTGTCTGTCTTTCTCCTTCCGCCCGTTTTCCAGGCTCGTTCGGTCACCGCTCCCCGTTCTCCGGGTCAGTTGAGGGAAGGGGGGAGTGCTTGGAGTGGTTTGACCCTGCTGGTGATGTCCATCGGGGCTTCCAGGAGAGGCGCGAGCACTGGGGGATGGCAAGGCTGGACCTAAACGCTGGTTTGCTGGACTTCGGCTGTGATATGTTTTTCGTTCTGGCAGGGAGGTACGGGAAGACAGATCGAGCAAAGCGAACAACAAAACGACATCAAAACGAAAAACATCGTTTAGGTCCAGCCCTGGGAGGTGATTCGCGCAGTGAGAGTGCACGAATCTGCGGGAGCGTGGCGGGCTCGCGAACTTTCTGGGGCGGGGATGGCGCGCGCGCGCGCACACGAGCCTGACGCTCGCGCCCTCTGCACTTCCTCTCGCACTGCGCTGGAGGCAAGGGCGTGTATCATGTGCGGTTGGGGCACGCGGAGTGGGATCTCACCCCGTCTTCCTTGGGATCCTGGCGACTCCTTTTTTCGAGCCGGGCGTTGTCGCTCCACTTCGGGACCCGGGACCCTCGCAGATCGATCCGGCTCGAAGAATTAACACAGAAAGTTGGGGTCCGGGAGTTCCGTCGTGATTTTTTGCGAGGTTGCGATTTTTGTTGCAACGTTGGATCCGCGCCTCCGGCGCCGCCCCTGGCGCGCACCGCGCGCCAGGGTGCCCCCAGCGCGGATCCAAGAAATCCGCGCGGAGCGCCAACAGTTTAGGTTTATGGTGTTTTTTCTTCTAATCTTCCCCTCCCCCTGCCCTCAGAAGGTCCAACGCGCGGGGGTGGGGCTGGCAGTTCTGGCCGCAAGCACCGCGCGACGGAGGCCAGGTGTCTTCGGCGTGGTCTCGTGCCGTGGTGGCGGCAAGCCACTCGTGTGCAGTCTCGTCGGCGCATCGGTTCCCGTGTGAAGCGGGTCACCAGCCTGCGAATTCTAAAGTGCTCCCAGGTTCCTCCTCCTCCTCATCGTCCTCCTCCTCCTCCTTCTCCTCCTCCTCCTCCTCCCTCCCCCTCCTCCTCCTCCTCCTCCTCCTCCTCCTTCATCTCCTCCTCCTCCTCCTCCTCCTCCCTCCTCCTCCTCCTCCTCCTCCTCCCCCTCCTCCACCTCCCCCTCCTCCTCCTCCTCCTCCTCCTCCTCCTCCTCCTCCCCCTCCTCCTCCCTCCTCCTCCTTCTCCTCCTCCTCCTCCTCCTCCTCCTCCTCCTCCTCCTCCTCCTCCTCCTCCTCCTCTCCTCCTACTCCTACTCCTCCCCCTCCTCCTCCTCCTTTTCCTCCCCCTCCTCCTCCTTCTCCTCCTCCTTCTCCTCCTCCTCCTCTTCCCCCTGCGGGGGATCTGCCTTTGCTGGGTAATCCCTTGTGTTCCTGGCTGGTTGCAAGGGCCCAGTGTCCTGTGAGTCCAGTCGTGCCCGCACGACGGCCTCTAGGCACTCGGCGGCGAAGTGCCACCCGCGGACGGGCGTCTCCCACTCAGCGGTGGCACCCAGTGCGGCTGAGGGTTGCCGCCTTTTCATTACTTAGTGGCCTCCCTCGTCGGTCCTCCTCCTGAGCGTCTGAGTGCAACGTCTTGGGGATGTCCTGGCGGTAATTCGGCCACCGTCGCGAAGCAGCCCGTTCTATGCCTGGCCGTGGTGTCTCTCCTGCGTGCGTGGCGGCATTCGCGTTGCTCTGAGATGCGTGCGCTGCGCTGTGGTGAGACAGAACGTGCAAGAGCGCCCATGACGAAGGAACGGCACAAACCCATACCCATAGGGGGGACAGAGAGGGTATGGGTGCGTGTTGTCGGGTGGCGGTCCCCGCTGTAGCGGGAGTCTCCCCGGCGGTCCGACAACCCGCACCCGTACCCATAGCCAGTCATCCTCCCTCGGATCCCCCTATGTGTATGGGTGTGTATGCGTTGTTCGCTCGACAATCCAGGTTGGTCCCACCCTTGCGTCCCACTCCCCCTCCCTCCAGGTCGCTGCGGCGGCTGGGACGGAGCTGCCTCTCGCTGCCGCCGCAGAGGGGCCCCGGATGGTGCTGGACGCTTGGCGGGAGGACGTGCTCAGGCTTGCCGGGACCCTCGCTCGTACCACAGCTAGCCGGCCACCCCTCCCTCTTCGTCAGGCCTCTCCCCCCTCCTCATCCTCCTCGCTCCTGTTCCCTCCCTCGCCCCACACCTCCCTCCCTCCCTCTCCCTCCCCCTCCCTCCCTGCCTCGACGCCGCCGACGACGACGCCCACGACGCCGCCGATCACTCCCTCCGCCGACGGCGCCGACGACGCGGGCGACGCCGACGACGCCGCCGCCGCCGCCGCCGGCGACGCCGACGACGCCGCCGACGCCGCCGCCGGCGGCACCGACAGCGCCTGCCGCCCGCAGACCGCCCGAGCGGCGCCTCCCCGCCGCTCCGGCGGGCGCCGCCTGCGGCCGAGCCGCTCGCCGCCGCCGCGCCGCGCGCCGCCCCCGGCGGCGCCTCGCTGTGCGCCGGCGGCGGGCCGCAGCCGGCCGAGGCGGCGACCGCCGCCGTCGCCGTGGGGCCTCGGCGTCGGCGGCCGTGGCGGTCGCGGCGTCGGCGTCGGCGTCGGCGTCTCTTCGGCGTCGGGGTCGGCGAGAAAGCCGTCGTCGGCGGCCTCGTCGTCGTCTTCGCCTGCTGCTTCGTGGGGTGGGGAGGAGGAGGAGCGGGAGGGAGGGAGGGAGCGAGGGAGGAGGAGGAGGGGGATGAGGAGAAGGGACTGGAGGGATAGGGGAATCGCAGGGAGGAATGAGGGAGACGTGAGGAAGCAAGGACGTTCCTCCTCCCTCCTCCCTGTTCCTTCCTTTCTCTCCATGCTCTCTCATCATCCCCTCCGCCTCCTCAGTTCCTCAGTCCCTCTACTGTAGAGCCTCTACTTGCGGATGCGTTTGGTCGGCCTGGAAGTGGACAGGCACCGCGCAGTGAAGAGGTGCAGTCGCACGGCTCAAAGGCCGCTCGGCAGCGCGTGGCTGAATGCAAGTCGCCCGTCCGGTGAGAAGTGCGGGTCGGCCGAGCTGCTTGAGCCCGCCTCGGCGCCGGACCGGCCCCGCGCGTGGGAGAGGGCAGGTCTGCGTGGGAGTGCGCGTGGATACCGACCCTCCATGTTAGGGGTTAGGGCCGCATCCCTGCACGGAAAGGCTGGCTTGTTTTGTATATGCCGCCCGAAGTGCCCATCTCATCTTCTTCGCTCTGCCTCCGCCCTCCTCTGCCTCCTCCCCTCTCTCTCTCTCTTTCCTCTCCAAAACGGAGGAGGGGGGAGGGGGGGTTCAGGACCTTCCTTGCTCTATTGTCTCTTTTCCTTCCCTCCATCCTCAGCCTTCAACCTCCTCCTCCTCCTCCTCCTCCTCCTCCTCCTCAACCTTCTTATTATTCTTATTCTTCTTCTTCTTCTTCTTCTTCTTCTTCCCCCAGCGACCCCAACGACAGGCTCAGGCGTCAGCGGCGGCTAAGACCTAGGACAACGTCGCTTGCGACGAAGGTGACGACACCGCCGCCGCCAGTGACGGCGACGGCGACGGCGACGGCGGCAGCGGCGCCAGCCGCCGCCCGCGGCGGCGGCGCCGACGGATTGCGGCGGCGGCGGCGGCGACGACGACGGGCGCGCGGCGGCGGCGGCCGGCGGCCGCCGTCTCGGGAGGGCCCGCGGGTGCCGCCGCTGGACCTGCACGCGGCAGCGGGGCCGCCGCGCCCGCGCCCGGCCCACCAGTGCGCCGCGCGGCGGCAGCCGAGCTCGGGCCCCGCCAGCGTGAGGCCCCCCGGGCCCGCAGCAGCGGGGGGGGGGGGCCCACAAAGTGGGTACTCCAGATTTCGTAATGAAGGGAGGGGGGTCTCATTTCGGGGGGGGGTCTCTTCCAGGCTATCTCGGAGGGCCTGGGGGGTCTGGGGACGATGTTTTGGAGGGTTCTCCCACGGGGGAGGTCTGAAATGGCTTGTCTTGGAGGGTCCTGACCCCCTCCCTTTTATTACGAAACCTGGAGTACGGAAGCCGTGGGCACGCAGTGCGGAGACAAGGGGTACGGTTGAAGGGCTTCTCCGCAGGGCTTTGGCGACCCGTCCTCCTCTCTCCTCCTCCCCCTCCTCCTCTTTCCCCTCCTCCTCCCTCTCCTCCTCCTCCTCCTCCTCCTCCTCCTCCTCCTCCTCCTCCTCCTCCTCCTCCTCGCCCTCGCCTCCTCGGGTCGCCTACGGCCCCGGGGGAAACCGTCCAGGTAATACGGTTGCTAAGAGGATACGGTCGGTTTTTTTTGGACAGCGTGTCGCTCCGTCGGGTCTGGCCCACCGCGCTTTGCAGCGCGGTCCCCAGGCGTCAACGCCGCGAGCCTTTCCGAGCCTCCCGCCCCGCGGATCGGACCAGGACGCTATCCGCTCGCATGCAAACATTGCCGACCGTAGGAGGCTCAGAAGCGGATGCGAGGGTGGGTTATACCTGTACCTGGCCTAGCTCAGCTTGTAAGAAGGTTGTAAGTTCCTTCGGCTGGTCAGGGTGAATCAGTAGCACTTATAAGTCAGATTAGGCAAGACCTCATCCACCTCAGCATGCGCTTCTACCCCCCCCTCTCCCCGTAGTCACCGCCGCGATCATCCCAGCACGAAGTCTAACAGCGCTTCTTTTTCACGCTGAACGTGATTCCCTGGCGGCGTCACCGCAGTCGTTGTCCATTTGGGACACAAGCTCGCCTGTCCAACAGCGGCCGCTGTCGGATTGAGACCAACCTTTTGTGGGGCATCGTTCCCATTTTTCCATGCCCATCTTGGCCGTCCAAAGTCGCTGGCGGCGCAGCGGGCTCCATCTGTGACATCCTCCCGCGCTGCGAATGAAAATCACGACTGAGGATTCTTGCCACTTTTCGGCCTGTAGGGGCCCCTTCCAGCCCCAGGACCGTGAACAAAACAATTCGGGATGCGGTCCCGAAGAAGGGGTCTCACGTCCGGGGAGCCACGTAGTTAAAACACGACTTCAGATGTCTGGGATTGTCGGGGGCGCAAGAGGTATCCTTGGTCCGAGGTGGCCTCCGCGGTATCAAAGGCACTCCTCGCGAGGCCCAGAGAGCCCCAGGGGCTGCGACAGGGCGCGAAAAGCATGGAATACCTTGGGCCAGGGACACCTTTAGCAAATCCCGATCCCTGGAGACACGGCGAGGGGTGGATCCGGAGGAGAAACAACGCCACATACGTACGCCAAAACTGTCGAAGGTCCACGCATGTGTCTTGCCTCTGCCGTGGTACCCCCTTAGCTGAGCCACGGAGCCTCCGGCGCGCTCCGCGCGACAGGGAGGCGGGTCCAGCTCAGATTTCGAAGGTTTATGTTTATGCCGTGAGGTCGAAAGACGGGGACTGAATAGGAGCAGCAGTGGGGAGTCGTGCTGATGTGTCCGCTCCCCCTCCTCCCCTCCAAAACTGCGCTGAAAAAAAAAGGAGCAGCAGTGGGGAGTCGGAGGCAGAGGGTACAAATACGTTGAGGGGATGAGCAGGAGAAGTACAAGGAGGAGGAGGATGAGGATAAGGAGGAGGAAGAACAGGAGCCAGAGGGGATGAAGGAGGGGGATAAGAAATCAGGAGTGGGACGAAGGAGGAGGAATGGAGGAGGAGGAGGACGAGGAGAAGAAACAAGAGGGGGACCAGAGTAAGCGCAGAGGGCATCAGCGATGCTGTGGCCCACCTCCCCGTCCCGAAGGCCGCTCCTCGGCAGCCCCGACTGGGAGTCCTCTCCGCCACGTGGGGAGGGGCCCCTTTTCGAATGGATGGCCGCGCCGTGAGCCCGGCGTGCAGGCGGGAGTGCCCCGTCTCGACCAGGCCTGCCCTCCATCGTTCAAGGCATACTCGGCGGCGAGCGAGGGAGAGAAGTGAGAAGGAAAAGGCCTTCCCAGAGGGTTCGAAGAACAAACATCTGCATAAACACCAACTGTTGGAGCTCCGCGAGGATTTCTTGGATCCGCGCTGGGCCCCCCTGGCGGCGCCTCTGGCGCCGCAACCTGGCGCGCTCCGCGCGCCAGGGAGGGGGGTCCAGCGCAGATCCAAGAAGCCCGTGCCGAGCGCCAAAAGTTAATGTTTATGTCGTTTTCTCTTCTTCTACATGTGGCGGGATTTCTCAGAAGCCCTCGCGCCTTCTGAGCAGTGCTCTGTGGCTATGGGGGAAGGTTTGGAACATCTGTCAAAAGGCCAGGGCACGAGGCCTGCCCTCCATCTTTTCAGGTACACGCCGGTTGTTCCGAGTAGACATTCTTGGATTTCCAGATCCCTCCCTCCCTCCTCCCTCCTCCCTCCTCCCTCTTCCCCCCTCCCTCCTCCCTCCTCCCTCCTCCTCCCTCCTCCCTCCATCCCTTCTTCCTCCGCCCTGATCCCTCCTCCCTCCTCGGACGGACGTATTTTGTCCCTCTTCCCTCCTCCCCAGTGGGCGGGCGGACGCCCGATCTACTTGCAACGACGCCGTCCTGCTTCATGTTGCTACCCACCTCTTCCGACCGAGGGGTGTACACCTTAGGCGATGCTTAAGAAAACTTAAATTTTCGGCCAGAGTCTTGATTATTCTTAATGTTTCAATGTAAATCCTAAGATTTGAATGGAATTTTTGGGCTTATTCCAGTTCTGAGACTATGAATTTCTTAACCCATGATTTCTTAAGCATTTCGCAGGGTGTACGCAATGACCGAAGAGGAGCACACAGTCGCATACATTGACGGAGCTCTGCGCGCGGATTTCTCAGATAGGTGCTGGGCCCCCCCCCGGCGGCGCCTCCGGGCGCCGCCCGTGGCGCGCGGAGCGCGCCAGGGAGCGGGTTCCAGTGCAGATCCAAGAAATCTGCGCGGAGCTCCGAAAGCTTGTGCCTATGCAGCTCTGCGTCCCTCTGCAGTGGTCCGACGATGTGCGCTTTTCAGTGCGCGGCCCGAGCGGTCCCGACCCCCCCGTTCGCCCTGGGTCACTAATGAAGGCCCCAGGGCCCGACAGAGCCCCCAGAGGCCGAATCCGATAGAATCCGATAGGGGCATCGAACAGAAACCCGACCGAAGCCCTGGACCCTATTTTACAGCTGCACCTCTCGAGTGGGATCGATCCTAGGGCCCGAAGCAAGGCAACAGCGCCCGTGGCGAAAACACTGCGGCTGCAGGATCGCAGGGCCATCCCTGCTGAGCCCACCACCCCTGAGTCAGCTCCGGCGCCCGGTGAGTCTCGGGCCATCACTCGAGCCTCCGGCGGCAGTTCGGGACGGTTCGGGCCCCCTGGGGACGCCCTCGGCGAGGCGCAGATGCTGGAGCAAGCACCCCGAGGCGAGACAAGCTCAGGAAACTCACCAGGACCTCCGGGAAACTCACCGCCAGGCTTGGAGGCACCTCATCGGGCCCTCCCCGTGGTGTGCGCTCGGACCTGCATTCCGAGGGACTTCCGGCCGCGGCGACGAGGCCCCCAGCAGGAGCCAGCTGGCGGGCAGTGCCGGAAAGCC